ATTTCCTTTACAGATAAACATTTGGCATTCATTGACCAAGCAGCCAGTACTATTTTTGGTTGAAATTTATAAAATCTTTCACTTAAAATAATTTTTCAGGAAAATAGGTTTTCAAGTCCAGTAACTTTTATTGTTCTTTCCTTCCTAATCTTTTATTTGAAGTGGTTTGAAATGTTAGTATGTATGAAATTATTTTCTCTTTGAGTTACATGTGATATCCATTTTAGTTGTTACTGTTGGTGGTGGTCCTCAAGTGATGGGGTTTCTGTTATTTGCTACAGTTCTTTGTGATTCTGTCTTGAAAGTTCACAATGTTCAAAGAAGAATGATCTTCAAGCTTCACTCATTCAAAGAGTAAAGCTGTATAAATATGACATGCTTTATCTTTACAAGTGTCAGATTAGACCAAAAATAGAGCATGGCTGCCATATCTCAGCCAAAAGTGCCCAATCATCACTTTCCAGCTCAATAAAATAAAACCTCATCATCTGTAGATTGTCTACTGCAGTTTCACTCATCTGCAGTTGGTCCAATCTGTCAAACTTTCATTTTCAAATGCTTTAAAACTTCTCTACAAAATATATTAAGGAGTAAAATATATACAAATATATTTTTTACTAGAGGGAATTGTATCCAATCTGTTATCAAGTGGACTGTATATTACAAATATTGGTGGCATTACTAGTCCCAGCGGGGAAAATAAGTATTTCATCTCCTACTGATTTTCTGAGTTTGCCACCTTACAAAAATAGGGACTGTCTATAATTTTCAGGGTATGTCTGTTTTGAAAGTGAGAGATAGAATATTAAAAAAATCTAGAAAATCACATATTAATTTTTGAACATTTATTTCTCTTTTATTGAAAAAATACGTATTTCACCCCATAGCAAAATATAACTCAGTATTTGGTGAAGAAACCCTTGTTGGCAAGCACAGCAGGCAGACATTTCCTTTAGTTGGTTACTAAGTTTTTACAGATCCCAGTGGGGATTTTGTCCCACTCCTTTTTGCAGATCTTCTTGAAGGTTTGTAGGTTGTCGTTGAACAACTAGAATCTTCAGCTCTCTCCACAGATTCCTTAAAGGATTAAGGTCTGGAGACTGACTAAGCCACTCTATTACCTTAATGTGCTTCTTCTTGAGCTACTCCCTTGTTGCCTTAGCCATATGCTTTGAGTCATTTCCATGCTGTCCTGAGGCAAGGAGGTATTCACTCAAGATTTGTCTGTACTTGGCATTATCCATTTTTCCTCAACCTGTTCCCTTAGCAGAGAAACAGCCTCAAAGCATAATGTTTCCACCACCATGCTTAATGGTTGGGATGGTGGTCTTAGGGTCCAAGTCAGCTTTTTTTCCCTCCAAATATGGTAAGTCGAGTTGATGTCAAAATGTTAAATCTTAGTCTCGTCTGACCACAGCACTTTCTCCCAACCCTCCTCTGAATCATCCAGGTGCTCATTTGAAAACTTCTGACAGGCCTGTACATCTGCCTTACAGCACTACATGATTTCAGTTCACTACGACAGTGTGTTATTAATGGTCATCTTGGTGACTGTGGTCCCAGCTGTCTTGAGATTGTCAACAAGCTCTTGCTATGTAGTTCTGAGCTGTTTCCTCACCTTTCTCATCATCAGGTTCACTCCATGTTCAGAGATCTTGCATGGAGCTCCAGACTGAGGGAGACTGATAGTCAATTGGTATTTCTTCTATTTTCTTATTATTGCACCAACATTTGACTCCTCATCTAGCTGCTTGAAAATCATCTTGTAGCCCATTCCAGTCTTGTGCAGGTATACAATTTTGTCCTGGATGTCCTTAGACAATTCTTTCATCTTGCCCATTGTGGAGAGATTAGATTCTGATTCATTGAAGGATTCTGTGAACTAGTGTCTTTTATACATGTAAGGAGTACTTGATTAGGAGTAATAATTGAGTAATAGGACTCATCTATATGCCTCCTGGTCACATAACCAGTCTGTGGGGCCTGAATCATTGCTGGTTGGTAGGGGGTGAAATATTTATTTTTTCAATAAAAAAGAAATAAATGTTCAAAAATTAATATAATGTGATTTTTTAGAATATTTTTTATATTCTGTCTCACTTTCAAGACGGACATACCCTGAAAATTATAGACCGTTCCCATTTTTGCAAGGTGGCTCAGAAAATCAGCAGGGGATGAAATACTTATTTTCCCCATTATTGTTCACTATTTCATAATTTGTCAGGAATCTATCTACTACAGATAACAAAGTCCTACAGTACTTATATTAATTACAATGTCTTGGTTTTAAGAGTGCCTTTATAGAAATTATTTTATTTCTCTGCCTGTGATTCAAGAGTTCAAGCATATAGCAAAAATATTTCCTATATAGAAACCATATTAATGTAATGCTTATTTGGTACTTGCATAGAGAAAGACTACAAGAACACAACATTACTTATTGTCAGGTATCATGGATTAAGGTTTTTCTATTTCTTTTTCATTTATCGCTGCACTCTCTCAGTTACATGCATATGTGTATATAAATGTTAAACATCCACAAATAGACATATGCATACATATATTAATATTTTTACATATATATCATATATATGGCAATTCATGCACATGTATACATATAAATGCATGCACACATATATCTATACTTAAAAAAATGTGTATCCATATACACATTTATGTACATCTAACACTTTTTTACATCACCAGTAGAATCCACTACCTATAGATGGTTGAATTGGGATATTGTATTGATGTAGAAATCATGATTATTCAGTGATGAATTAAATATTATTTGCTTAGTTTAATATTCATAAAATATGGATTAAAAACTAGAAACATTATTTGGACTGATATCCTTATCTTCACTGACATATTCACAACATTTTGGCTGGTGTATGCTCTGGCCTTCTTCAGGTGATTCGAATTTCAAACTGAATTCTTTATTTCATTCATCGGGGTAGATTGTTCCAGTTTCATGTGCCATGTCTCTACTGGATGTCTCAGTTATTTCCCTTTAACTCAACTCTTCAAGTTTTTTGATTCATCACTGCTGTAGCTTGGTATTGAACTCACAACTCTTTGGTGTTAGTCACTGACTCTAAAACAAAGCTGGTAGACGAAATAAAGTGTTCAGTTTGAAATTTCAATCACCTGAAGAAGGTCGGAGTGTACAATAGCCAACATGTTGTTAATATGGCAATGAAGATGAGGATAACAGTTCGAATAATGTAAATAATCATAAAACCTCATCTCAGAGATAGAGACAAAAGCTAGAGACTGCAGAACAACATAAAATTGTTATATTTCATAATTAAAATGTAATTGCAAAATTATTTAAACATTGTCCTCATTCTTTGACGGCATGACAAAACTCATCAATACATACTTATACATATAGAGATATATACTAACAAACTAATAAAGACAAATCACTAGAAACATTAAATAACAAAAGTGACAGAAACATAAACAAAAAGAAAAAGAAACTAAATGAAATTGGATGATATAACCAAAACACATATTTAGAAAAATTAAAATTAAAATTTAAAATTCTCAGTGTCCCCTCTCCTTCATATGCATGTGAAGTCACATCAATATAAATATCACTATAAAAACTTTTTCCACTTTGTCATAAGTTTTCTCTAAATTAGTTTTTGATACATAAAATTTTTTATATCATTCACCCATATATATATATATATATATATATATATATATATATATATATATATATATATATATGCAAAAAATCTGAACTGTTGGGGAGAATGAGGGCAACAGACTACCTGCCAAAAGACCTACAAAGAAGTCGTGAAATACTAATAAGAGAAAAAAGCAAAAACCAAGAAAAAGGTCAGAGTAAAAAAGAAGGAAAAACAAAAGGCAAACAACTAACTAAGCAGTAAATAACAATGCTCAATGTCCAGGCTATTCAGACAGGGGCCCAATATATATATATATATATATATATATATATATATATATATATATATATATATAGTTGTATATTAAGGCAGCAATCCTTCCTTTATGCATGTTTCATTAAAACGACAGACAAGGTACTACGGTTGAGCTTTTTTATTTAATTTTTCTTGTGTTCTGACAAGAGCTTTCTTTTCTGGACAAAGGGGTGTAAGAACTGTCCAAATGTTTTATATTTCCGAGTTCTTTCACCTATACCTTTAGACATTATCAAGGATGATTTGATTTTCAGCTTAGTTGAGTGTGTGCGTTCTGTGTATGTATCAGCGTGTGGTAGGGATGTTTTTAATTTACGAATACGGTTAGCACATTGTGGCTTTGTTCCTAGTTAATATTGTTAATAGTTGGCTTTTTCTTTTTTATTATTAAAGCTTCCATTATTTTTTTCTTTTTTGCAAGTGGATGCAGTTAATATATTTGTGTTTTCTACTAGTATGTTCCTAATGGTGTCTGGTAAATCTGGTGTGTGTTTAAATGTGTTCTGATGGAGCTGTGATCAGATAGGTGTAACATAAGACGTCTCTCAACCGTAGTACCTTGTCTGTCGTTTTAATGAAACATGCATATATATATATATATATATATATATATATATATATATATATATATATATATATATATATATATATGGTCCTTGTGCATTTGCATATAAGTGAAGAAAATTGTGAATTTGTTGTTTTTACATTCAGAAATTTGCCAGAGTCAGTATTTATTGTTTGGCATTGGTAAAATTCTAAGAGATTGTGCATATTGTTTATAGTCTTTTATCTCCATCCATATAATGTGCCACAATTACAAAATTAGGACAATACATACCATTCCTACTTTCAGACACTTACATTGGGTCAAAATCTTTCTTCAATTCATTGCTCTTACTTCAAATGTGTCTTGATCATTGGTTATCAAAGGAGAACATAAGATAACTCAACAATGCTTACCCTGTTTACTGCTAAACAGTTTATGTATTTATCTAGTTATACACTGAGGTATTTGTCAGTCTCTTGGTATGTTGATTTCAGCTTACTTATATCTATCTATCTATCTATCTATCTATCTATCTATGTCTGATCATATATGATTCCTTCTCCAAATTATCTATCTACCTATCTATCTATCTATCTATCTATCTATCTTAGTCTGCTTATCAGGCTTTTTATCCTTGATGTGTAGAGATGTAACCATTTTACATCAATCTGTCATCATCAGTCTATCTATTTATCACATTTCTGAGTTTCTTTAGACAAAGATTCAATAGAACAGACTAAAAACTAGATAGTTTTTAGTCAGATTGAGTATTCTATTATGTAAAGGAAATACTTTGCTAACACTGGACCTTTGATAGCAGCATTGTGGGCAAAAGTCATAAATGGTTAATGCTGATGCTACACAACTTTCAATCTTACATAATTGTGCATTAATTACATATTTTAATCACTCACTCTATTTATAACTTAAATTCTCTTTTATATTTAAAAAAAATATAAATAAAACTTTAAAATTTAAAAATGAAATAAAAGGGAGGGAGCATAATATCTTCTGTAAAAACTAGATAGAATGGCTTGATAAATTTCCTGAGATAAAATTACAATATATGAGCTGGTTGGAAATCCTCTTCTGCCATTTTTGAATGTTGTATTGAATGACTACACTTTTAAGTCATTTCACCTTAATGCAGGTGTCTCCTAGTGTTCTATCCTTGCACTTAGATTGTTTTTTACCTTCATCAATGACCCTCCTGATGTCATCAGTTCTCAACTAGGAATTTATGTTATGACAAAACTATTTTATCCTGTCTTAATAGTAAGTCCAATAGATCCAATAAAGTAAAACTGGCAGCTGTTCTCAAAATTACCTCTAATCAGTTAACTGGTGCAAGAAATGAATTGTAAATTTTAATGTCTTCAAAACATAACTGCTATCTTTTAATCATCATAGACAACCATTTTTGCCCTCCACTAATTTGGGTGATGCTAACCTCTAGGAGAGCAGCTCTTTGTGCCTTCTTGGTTCCACATTTTCTATTAACATGAAGTGGGGCGATTATATTGAATCAATTATTAGTTTGCTGCTAAGAATGTTTGTTCACTGTATTATGTCAGGTAATTTTTCTTATCATTCTTGCACATTTATAAATCTAAGATTCATCTGTGCATTGAATTCTACTGCCATATCTGGTCTGGTGCTGCAGCTATATATTATGAGATTCTTAATAAAATCTAAAGAAGGATCTGTAATATTATCTGTTCTGACCTCGTATTTTGGCTTCAGTTACTTTCTCATTGCCATCACTTCCATTTGTCTTTTCTATAAATATTTTCATATTAGTTGTTCTAATGAGCTCTCCTCCTTGGTATTTCCACCCCATGAATTTAAATGTACTACTAGATAAACAGTTAGTTCTCACTGTTTTACTGTTGAAATACGTAGATGTAAGCATAAGTTCTATTCTCATAGTTCCATTTCTCACACTTCTTAACTGTGAAACTCTCTTCTGATTTCCTTCTTCTCTACTACCTACAATTTAAGTGCAATGTCAATCTCAATCTTCTGTCTTCCTGAATCCTGTTCTTTTATTTTCCTTTCTCCTCACTAAAGTCTTCTCATTCTCTTCTACTTCCAGTAACCCATTGCATCTAGTGATATTATCACCTTATTTGGGGTGAAATGATTAAAAAAAGAAAAGAGCAGATAAAGAATGTTGAAGCTTGTATCCAGAAGTGTAACAAATACATCATTTTTGTAATCAAATGTTGACAACCTACATTTTCCAGGCTTAGTTCTAGATTATTTTTATCCTAGATCAATTATTCTGCATGACCTTCTTATTCACTATTTTATTACCTTCCCCAAAGTAAAACAAAGGTTCATTCCAACCATTTAACAGCTTGGATTTTATTTCAGGCATTTCAGTACACAATTTATCACAACTTTTGTTGTTCAAAAGAAACATTCTAAATACTTCCTGGGGGAAATAATCTCCATCCTTCCAATCATCTTTCCCTTTCAGAAGTCATCTCACAGACACTCATGTCCACTTATTCAGATTTCTTTTATTCCAACCAATTTTCAGCAATTATTTTGGACTTTAAGATGGCAACTTTGGACATTGTCTCAAGAAAGTGCCACTGAACTGTCAGCTGGGACATCAATCTAACCAAGACAAATTAACAACTGTCTACTTCTTTGAAAAATCAGAGTGCTACGAATCAAAAGAATATGTGTTGCAGGTTATATATATATATATATATATATATATATATATATATATATATATATAATGAAATAACAACAGATTAGATAAAATGGATTAATCAATCAATGATTTGTTACAAGAAACAAAGATGAACAACTGGCAATGAAAAAATAAATTTTGCTTCATTTTTCAGTATAAAAACTTAATTTTATCAATATATAAGCCAATTTGATTTCTTATGGATAAAAGCTTTATTTCAGGGATTACTTTGTAGGCTGTACACAAATGTACCCACATGAAACAACACTTCGCCCCTTGATATTGTAAATTTAAAAATTAGTTTCACTGAAGCCATTTTGCATGGAAACAACATAGAGAAATATTACATGACAAAAAAGAAGAATATCATTCTCTTTTGTTGTTCAAAAGACCTAGCTTAAGGGCATCTAAGAAGAAATATATATGAAGCCAGCAACCCAAGTCAGGAGACAGACACCCTCATTTCAGAAAAATTCTGTTTTGACAACCAGTAACTTCAAAGGCAGTGTTTTCAATCATCTATCCAATACTACTGACAAGCTCATTGTGAATCCTGCCAAATATCATTCTTTTTCACAACCTCTGCTGCTACAGAATCTCAAACAAAGAACTGTACCAGATAGCTGAAACTAAATCACTTTCAACAGCAGCAACAACTAAAATGAATATCATGTTTAACTCAAAGAGAAAATAATGACATAATCAAGATGTTGACATTCTACATTACTTCAAATAAAAGGTTAGGAAAGTAACCTGCATTAGTCCTGGAAAGAACAATAATAACTACTGAATTTGAGGAACTTATTTTCTTGAAAAATTGTTTTAAGAGTCAATGAATGGTGAATGTTTCCTTCTAAGAAAACAGCTAATATTACCAATACTATTACACTCATGGACAAACTGAAAGTTCAATTGACTCCACTCTTTCTGTATGCATATCCTCTCATTCATGAATACATATACAGTTCTTTTATTTAAACTTAATCATTAAAAACAAACATTCATTTGAGTTAAAACTTTTTTATCAACTTACCTTGCTTTTTTTGGGCCTTAATTATTTTGTTTGAAACATATATATATAATGTTGGCACATTGATGTAGTCAATAGAAATCTTTGTGGAGTAAATGATGGTAGTTTTCTGGAAGTCTGCAATCTTGGTCTCAGTTCCAGTTCTTCCTATGTGCTTTTTTCAATTTTCTAAGTGATGTTCCAAATGCATTCATTACTACAGAAATTAGTTTTTCCATTCAAGTTCCATGGCTCCTTCAGCTCCCTAACCAGATTCTGGTATTTTTCAATTCCTTTGGAGTCCACTTTTGTATCATATAGAACAGCAAAGTCAATAATTTGACTCTTACTATTCTCTTTATCTAGAGCAATAAGGTGAGGCCTTCATGCTTCAATGACATCATTTGTTTGCACTGATGATATCTTGTGACTGTCATTTTCTATCAAAATTAGATCTTTTATTGACATTAATGAAATTACAGAACAAACATGATGGATAGGCAAAACATCTTTTCAGATTGGTTCCAACAGCAAAAACAATATGTGGACTAGCAGAAAATTAACAACTTCTTACACTAACCAAAACTTACCCAGCAAATCCTGCACTCACCCTACCAATCCAGGGGACATTTCTGGGGAACAATTGGTTCTGGCCCACAAATTTGTGGTTTGTAAATTCAGATGTCAGTATGATGCTGACTATATAAGCAGAGGAGGTCAAAGGTTGGAGACACTTATTGACAAACATGCTTCAACCAATATTCACAAGAAAAAGGTGGATGTTTTACATAGGTGTATTAATGTAACAGGTTCAGTGATAGCTGAACATTTGACTAATAAACCAACAGTGTGCTTGGCCTTATAAGTCTGGGCATGTTCACAGTGCAAGACTAATACTGTTTATCATTTGAGTGTTTTGGAATCAATATATATTAAGTCTTACCAACCGTTTCTCTGTAAGCAAAATGTTATATTTGTTGTTTGTTTATAACATTAGTCTGGGGTTGTAAATTTTTTAATTATGATGCACACACTTTTTTTTCCTCAATTTTTGTTTTGAGAGAGGACTAATAAAACAGTTTAGCTGATTTTGGTTTTATACCAATTTACAGTAATATTTATTTTGTGTTACTCCTCTATTTTGTTATGAATGTCCTTTTAATATGTCTGTTTTTATTGCTGTAATATAATTAAACAAAATTTTATGATCATTCAGATATTTAAATGCTGTTAAACATTTATATTGGTAAAGTGTCACAGATTTTATAAGCATTTTTAATTCTCTCGAATTTTATTATTATGAGATGAAGCATTATGAACTATTATTAATTTTTGACTAGTATTTATTTCATTTTAAATCCAGTTGCTTTTATCAATATCTATAGTGACCACCTGAATAGTTGTAATAAAAAAAAAGATGAAATAATGACTAGTCAAAAATTAATAGTAGTTTAATTAATGTCAATAAATGTTATGATGAGGATATTTGTAATGAATAACAAATGCATGCAAAATCAAATGAAGACATATTTATTTTGCACCTCAGTACATAGTCAATAAATAAATTAGTTTATTCACCTCCTGAAAAATGGATATAAAACATTAGCCTCTTTCACTGACATGCATGTTGCACATTTTCTCATAGTAAAACTTGGATCTGGATCTGTTCTGAGAGCAGTTAATACCAGTTGCTGACCAACTAATCAGCTAAATGAGAAAATTGGAAAAGAGGCTTTGGAGTCAAATGTAAGTGTCTTTTTATTGCACATACAGTTAGTAACTCCTAATGCTTTTGTTTGATTAGTTAATTTTGTTGTCATCCACTTTTAGGTCATTTTTTTCCTGAGATATGTCACTTGACAGTTTTTGCTTGTTTACTTTAATTACTATGCTAC